ATCTTGGACAATGGAAATTATTGGGTCTGAGGAACAGAGCATAAGGGACCTGTGGGACATCATCAGGCTGACCAACTTACGCATTGTGGGAGTCCCAGAAGGACCAGAGAGAAAGGAGCAGAGCAAATATTTGAAGAATTAATAGCTGAAAACTCCCCGAATTTGGTGAAAGACATGAATATAAGCATCCGAGAAGTTCTGCAAACTCCAAGTAGGATGAACTGAACGAGATCTGCACCAGACAGATAAGATTCAAACTGTTGAAGGTCAAAGACAAGAGAATCTTGAAAGCAGCATAATAAAGTGAGTCATCACATGTGAGAGGAGCCTCCCCAAAATTTTCAGGAGATTTCTTACTAGAATGTTTGGAGGCCAGAAAGCATTGGGCTGATATTTTCTTTTTTTTTTTTTTTTTTTAAAGATTTTATTTATTTATTTGAGACAGAATGAGAGAGAGAGAGAGCACATGAGAGGGGGGAGGGCCAGAGGGAGAAGCAGACTCCCTGCCGAGCAGGGAGCCCGATGCAGGACTCGATCCCGGGACTCCAGGATCATGACCTGAGCCGAAGGCAGTCGCTTAACCAACTGAGCCACCCAGGTGCCCCTGGGCTGATATTTTCAAGTGCTAAAAGAAAAAACTGAATCAAGAATCCTGTATTTGGCAAAATTGCCCTTCAAAAATGAGGGACATTCCCAGATAAAAGCTGAGGTTATTTGTGACTACTAGACTTGCACTAAAAAAAATGCTAAAAGGGAGTCTTGCAGTTCGAAGTGAAAGAACAATAGACAGTGACTTGAAGCCATATGTAGAAATGGTAAGGTAAATATATGGGTAATTACAAATTCTAACTGCCATTTTTGTTTTCTACAAGATTTAAAAGACAAACACATTTTAAAAAATGCAATTGTTAGTCTAAAAGCTAGTATTACTGTAACTGGTTTGTAATTCCACATTTTGTTTTTTTACATAATTTAAGAAAGTAATGCACTTTTAAAAATTACCAGTTTATGTTTTTGGACACATGAACAAAGATATAATTGTATGTAGATGTTGTAATTCTCTTATGTTGACAACTGAAAGGAGCAGGACAGAGAGATGTTAAGGAGCAGAGATTTTGTATGTTACTGAAGTTAAGCTGGTACAAATCTAAATAAAAATATTGTGATCTTAGGATGTTAAATGTAATTCCCAATGGTGACTGCAAAGAAAATAGATATAGAATATGTACGAAGGGAATGAGAGATGAATTTAAACGTTTCAGTATAAAAACCTAAGCTCAAAAGAAAACAGTAATGTAGGAAATGAGAGACAAAATAGCTATGAGGCTTATGGAAAACCAATAACAGAATGACAGAAGGCCCTCCATATCAGTTAGCCTTAAGAAGGAAGGAAATTCAGAAATATACTACAACATGGATCAACCTGAGAACATTATGCCAAGTCAAATAAGTCAGGTACAAAAAGGTAAATACCACATGATTGCACTTATATGAGGTACTTAGAATACTTGTAGAGCCAGAAGGTAGAATCGTGATTTCCAGCGACTGGGGGAGAAGGGAATGGGGAGTTATTATTTAATGGGTATAGAGTTTCAGTTTTGCAAGATGAAAAGAGTTCTGGAGTTGGATGGGTGGTGATGGTTGCACCACAATATGAATGTACCTAATACCACTGAAGTATACACTCATAAATGGTTAAGATGATGGATTTTGTATTATGTGTGTTTTACTACAATTAAAAAAATTGAAAAGATACGTAAAGGCAGTATAATTATAAGGATCCTTAGCTTTCTCATAGGTGAGGAACCTTTGTTCAAAAAAATAATCAAATGATAAAGTCAGCACAAATCAGAGAAAATTATTCTGGTGGGCATGGAATATCTGCTTTCTGGGCACATTATGTAGAAGGTAAATAGTAAGTTCTTATTACCTCTTATTCTAAAATCAATTTATTGTTCTAATAGAAAGCCAAGTTTTACTTTTCTGTTACTATAATATTTAGCAGTATAAGTTTTTCAGACTTTTTTAAATAACTTTTAAGAACTTAGCATACTTTAGTAAAATTTTAAATATCTCATTGCACAAAGAAACTTGAGTTTTGGATTAGAGAAGGTGGACTGTAGTATTGTTTTAGTGATCTAAAGCAATCTATAGTAGTAAAAATAATGTTGTATACATAAAACTGTAATTCAGATGAGTTTATGGTCATTATCATATAGTGTTTGTCTGGCTCACATTTTGTAACATATGAATTTGAAAGCCTTTTGAGCAAAAAATGCCATTATCCCAGCAGTACTTTACAAATATTAATATGAATTAATATGTACAAGGAAGTAAAAAGGGGGGATTAGAAGCAGGGTTATAATTTAAGGGCCTTTCCTCTTATCCAGCCTCAACTCTAAGTAATCCAACCCTAATAAGAGTCTCGACTGGATATACAGAGGTAATGGAAATGTAGCCTTTATACTTATATGTGTCCTTCTCAGCTTTATGTATACCTCCCATCAAAATTTAGCTATGGAATCATCTCTTTGTCCAATTTTATTTTATCACCTCTAGGCTGAGTTGGCTGTCCTTTTTTGTGCTTTTTCATTACTACTTTGAGTTTACTCATCTCCCTCAATAGTCTTTGATAGGGATCAGCAAACAATGGCCAATGGGCCAATCTCATACCACTGTCAGTATTTGTAAGCAAAGTTTTATTTTTTTTAATTAATTTATTTTTTTTGAGATTTTATTTGCAAGAGAGAGAATGAGAGACAGCACGAGAGGGAGGAGGGTCAGAGGGAGAAGCAGACTCCCCGTTGAGCAGGGAGCCCGATGTGGGACTCGATCCCGGGACTCCAGGATCATGACCTGAGCCGAAGGCAGTCACTTAACCAACTGAGCCACCCAGGCGCCCAGCAAAGTTTTATTAAAACCACAGTTACATTTATTTATTTGCATATAGCAATCTATGGCTGCTTTTATTCTGCAATGGCAAAGTTGAGTTGAAACAGAGACAACATGGCCTGCAAAGCCTAAAAGATTTACTTTCTGGCCCTTTATAGAATAAATTTGCTGACTCTTGGTCTGTGAGCTTTTATTACCTTTTTGCCGATTCCTACACCTATTAGGCATATCATTGGTGCTGAATACATTTTTTGTCAAATTACAAAGGAATATAGGTATGAGAAATATGGTAATGAAATACCCTATCTGTAAGATGAGGCATGCATGGTTTCTAAGATGTGTTCTAGTTATACAGGTAGACTGCATAAAAATAAGACTCAACTGAGCTTATTTTTCATCTTTTTGTACTTTTTCCTAACCGCTCCCTGGTTGAACTAATTGCCCTATTGTACGTATCGCTGTTATAAAACGTGTGCATTTTATTATAGACACATTTATTTATAAATATATTTTAACCACCATGTGAACTCAAAGTCAGAGAACAGGATTTCAAATTTCTGCTTATAGTGCCTGATGTAAATATGGAAAGGAACTTAAAAATTGTGTAGCCCTGAGTAAATACGTTTTGCACTGGACTGAGAGGTTGGTTTGTTTTTAAAGAAAATTAAAAGTTATTTTTTGTTTTTTTTAGTAATGTAATATTCTTTTAAAAAATACTGCAAAGAGTAAAAAGTAGTTTGTTACTTTTCATTTTATCTAATGAAAATCCTCTTCTCTGAGGTATAAACAACTGTTAACTGGTAGCTATCCTTCTGTGCTTCCTTTATTTCTTCTTTCATTCCTACACACACTATACACTCATATACAATTATATAGAGCTTAGGTATGTAATATACACAAGCATTTCTTTTAAAAAATGCTAGGAGTATGCTGTGCATACCATTCTATAACTTTATTTTTTTCACTTAACAGTATACATGGAAGTACTTAATTCTTTTCAATGTCTGCATGGTATTTCTAGTACAATATATTTAACTAGGCCTCTTGATGTGTTTATATTTTCTTGCTCTGATGAACATTGCTGGGATGAATATCCTTTAACACATCCTTTTTTGTATTAGTAATTCATATCTGTAAGACAAATTTGAAATTCCAGTTGCTCTTTCGAGTGGTGTATGATTTTAAATTTTCACATACTTTGCCAAATGACTGTAATTAACTTTCTCACAAACAAGGTATGCAAAGACTTATTTCCTCACATTTTGGCCGATCTTGTGTATTTTATTTTTCTCAAGTTACAAATTATTGTTTTAGTTATTGTTTTAATTATTTTAATTATTTTCTTAAATAATTAATTACACTTGATTATATATTTTGCCATGCAAATGTTTTAAATTTTATATATTCAACATTGTCCGTCTTTTTTCTTGTGACTTAGGGGTTTTGTGTCATGTTTTGAAAGTCCTTCAATCAAAGATTATAGGAAATTAACCTGTGTTTTCTTTGATCGTTTTATAGTCTAATTTTTTCCTGTTTCAAAATGCCATTTAAATGGGGAAAAATACCATTTAATTGGAATTCTTTTGATATTAGGAATGGGGTAGAAATGAAGTTCTTTTACTTTTAAGTAGCCAGTTTCAGAGAGTGTGTTGATATATGGTGAGTGTGGAAAGAGATGAAAGTCAGTGATGACTTCCAGATTTTGAGCTTGATTTTTTTCCTCTTGTGATTTTTATTTATGTAGAAAAAAGATGTATTTAAAAATAGTGACTCACCATCACAGTATCATAAAATATAAAGTTTCTATTTTTCACTCTTCTATAAATTTTTTATATTCTGATTTATAAGAGGTGGAAATTTCTATTTTCTGATTTTTAAGAGATGCTTCAGTAGCAGTCTCTTACATTTTAAAGTTAGTGCATACCCTGCACATAATGTGTCAGTTGGCTTGATTATCTCCTTAATGTTAAAGACATTAATTATAGTGAAATTTAAGGACTTAGTTCCCCTCATCCCCAAATATTCCTTGAATGCTTTTATTGGTTAAAGAAAGACTACTGTGAAATGTAAATTTTAAAAGAAATGACAAATCTGATTTCCCCCCCTAGATTTTGGATTGGTTTGTACAGATATGTTTGGCCTTGAAACATGTACATGATCGAAAAATTCTTCATCGAGACATAAAGTCCCAGGTATGTTTATTCTGTCACTAATAACTTCTAAGGGATATGAACATTGAGCCAGCATTGTTTGTGGCTAAAATTTTTGAACCCAAACCAGTCTGCATCAGATTATCGGTTCTCTCTTCCCCCTTCATTATAATCCTAGAAATCCTCTTTATATGCATCATGTGTTAGAGCTCCTGCCTTTTTCCTATATCCTCCTCTTTCTGGGTTTACTCTCATAATGATGGGAAAAACCCAAAAAATAGATATGTGGAAAGTCTATTTTGGGGGGTATTGTATGTCTGAAGATGACGTATTCCCCTAACTTCTAGTTTGGAAATGTGTTTTCCTACAGAATTTAGAAGATACCATTCATTTGTCTTTTGGCTTCTAGTGTTGTTATTTAGGAATTTAAAGCCAGTGATTTCTTGATTTTCTCTTTTCTTTTCTCTTTTCATTCATTCATTTTATTTATTTGAGAGAGAGAGAGCAAGCAGGAGCAGGGGGGAGTGGCAGAGGGAGAGGGAGAAGCAGGCTCCCCGCTGAGCAGGGAGCCTGACTTGGGGCTTGACCCCAGGACCCTGAGATCATGATCTGAGCCAAAGGTAGGTGCTTAACTGACTGAGCCACCCAGGTTCCCCTGTTGGAGCTTCTTAATCTAACTCTTCCAAGTACCTTATTTGTTCTTTCACATTTTATATCTTTGTCACTCAGTTGCATTCTAGGTGAATTTTTCAGCCTACTTTCCAGAACTAAATCCTTTTTTAATTTTGTGTAAACTGATGCTTATCTATTTACTTTTTTTTTAATAATGACTTTTCTTCTAAGATTTTTATTTTTTTAAAATTTTTTTGTGCATTTTTTTAAAATTGTTATGTTAATCCCCATACATTACATCATTAGTTTTAGATGTAGTGTTCCATGATGCATTGTTTATGCATAACACCCAGTGCTCCATGCAGAACGTGCCCTCCTCAATACCCATCACCAGGCTAACCCATCCTCCCACCCCCCTCCCCTCTAGAACCCTCAGTTTGTTTTTCAGAATCCATCATCTCTCTTGGTTCGTCTACCCCTCCGATTTCCCCCCCTTCATTCTTCCCCTCCTGCTATCTTCTTCTTCTTCTTCTTTTTTTCCTTAACATATATTGCACTATTTGTTTCAGAGGTACAGATCTGAGATTCAACAGTCTTGCACAATTCTCTAAGATTTTTAAATGGTTTTTCATATACATCTGTTATTACTCTTAAAGATTTTATTTATTTATTTGAGAGAGAGAGAGAGAGAGAGTGGGAGGGAGAGGGAGAGAGAATCTGAAGCGGACTCCATGCTGTGTGCAGAGCCTGACTTGCGGTGTTCTATCTCATGACTGAGAGATAATGACCTGAGCCAAAACCAAGAGTCAGACACTTAACTGACTGAGCCACCCTGGTGCCCCACTCTGATTGGTTTTTGTTTCATAATGTCTTGTTCTTTTTAAATGGACTTCCTTTATTTATCTCTTTGCAATTTTCTTTCTTTGTAATTTTTTTTTTTTAAAGATTTTATTTATTTGAGAGAGAGAATGAGAGAGAGAGAGCACATGAGAGGGGGGAGAGTCAGAGAGAGAAGCAGACTCCCTGCTGAGCAGGGAGCCCGATGCGGGACTCGATCCCGGGACTCCAGGATCATGACCTGAGCCGAAGGCAGTCGCCCAACCAGCTGAGCCACCCAGGTGCCCCTTTCTTTTTTTTTTTTTTTTTAAGATTTTTATTTGCGAGAGAGAGAATGAGAGACAGAGAGCATGAGAGGGGGGAGAGTCAGAGGGAGAAGCAGACTCCCTGCTGAGCAGGGAGCCCGATGTGGGACTCAATCCCGGGACTCCAGGATCATGACCTGAGCTGAAGGCAGTCGCTTAACCAACTGAGCCATCCAGGCGCCCCAGGTGCCCCTTTCTTTGTAATTTTTTTAAGATTTTATTTTCAAGTAATCTTTACACCCAGCGTGGGGCTCATACTTACAACCCTGAGATCGAGAGTCACATGCTATACTGACTGAGCTAGCCAGGTGCCTCTCTGCAATTTTCTGAACATATTTACTTTAAAGTTGTTGTTGGGATTGTTTCATAAAATTAATTCTGTCTGGAGTGAATTCTTGTTCTGATTATTTTATTAGCTTTTCTTTTTTTGCATTGGGTTTTCTCATTTGTATTGGACTTTTTTTTTTTTTGGCTGCTCTTTGTGAGAGATGTTTTGTCCCCACAGCTCACTCATCTTTGCATAGAGGTTTCTTTCATGGATGCCCCACTGGGGCTCCCTCAGTCCCCAGACTGGGTAGCACAGAGGGGATTTATTTCCAGGTGTCAAGGCTGTGTATCTGTCTTACCTTCTTACTCCTGCAGCTTCTTGTATAGCCTGATAGCCTCAGGATGAGTAGTAAGAAGAGGAGAAACTGTGATGGGAACTTTATGCCCCATCCTTCTGGTCCCCCAGTCCTCTGCCACCTAATTCCATTTCACCCCATTTTACTCCATCCCACTCATTCCCATTGTGTGTCATCTTTGGCTGTGAACATGTGTCTGATTCAAGTCTCCTGAACGATACCGAGTTTAATTCATGTTCCACAAACTCCTGCCTTTACTGTTGATAGAGCAGTGGAGTTAGGTATTTATGCATGCAAATTAACTGGCTAAATTATTGGAAAATTTTAAGGTTAATTTGTTACATTTAGGTTAATTAGAATTTTTAGGCAGGCTTTTTTTTTTTGTAATGGAGGGGAAGGTCTGAGTTTATTTTTTTAAAGCTATGTTGAGATATATTTCAAATACAGTAACGTTCACCCCCTGAAAATGTACAGTTCGGTGATTTTTAGTATATTCACAGCGTTGTGAAACATCACCACTCTCTAATTGTAGAACATTCTTTTTATCACTCCAGCAAGAAACCCTGTACCATTAGCAATCACTCTCCATTCCCTCTCAACCTAGACTCTAGAAACCACTAATCTAGTTTCTTTCTCAATGGATTTGCCTATTCTGGACATTTTATGTAAATGGAATCATGTAATATGTGCCTTTGTGTATTTTGAATGGGGTGTCTTTTGTTGGTAATGAATTGTAAGAGTTCTTTTTTCTGGATACAAATTCCTTGTCAGATACATAATTTGCAAGTATTTTCTCCAGTTCACTTTAAAAAAAAAAATTTATTCACTTCTTTTTATTTTAATTCTATTAATTAACATATAATGTGTTATTGGTTTCAGAGGTAGAGGTCAGTGATTCATCAGTCTTATATAATACCCAGTGCTCATTACATCACATGTTCTCCTTAATGTCCATCACCCAGTTATCCCATGTCTGATCACTTTTGCTGGTCTTCTTTGAACAAAAGTGTTTATTTTTGGTGAAGTCCACTTTATCAATATTTTCCTTTTTGGCTTGTGCTTTTGGTGTCACATTTAAGAAACCAATGCCCAGCCCAAAGACATGAAGATATATCCGTATATATTCCTCCAGGAGTTTTGTAGTTTTAGTTCTTATATTTAAGAATCCATTTTGAATTAATTTTTCTGTATGGTATGAGATAGGGATCTATACTCATTCTTTTGTATGTGAATATCCAGTTATTCTAGCATTTTTTTAACTAGATTCATCTTTATGAAGAGTTGTCAACTCACAACTGGATGTAACAGTATTTCTGATTTTTTTTTTTTTTTACATCTCTTTCACAGAATATATTTTTAACCAAAGATGGGACAATACAACTTGGAGATTTTGGAATTGCTCGAGTACTTAATAGGTAACATCAGTTTTAAACTTTGTTTTGATCTAATGTCCATGGTGAATATATGTGATAATTTTTAATATCCTTTAGTATCTTAAGCTTTTCTAATAATTCTCTTTTTGTTCTAGTACTGTGGAGCTGGCTCGAACTTGCATAGGGACCCCCTACTACTTATCACCTGAAATCTGTGAAAACAAACCTTATAACAATAAAAGGTATTTAAAATGATATTCATTTTAAATCTTTATTTCCTTTAAATCTTTATGTTTCCTTTAAATCTTTGTTATGTTCTATTTACTAACCTTCAGAATATGATTCCAAAATCATTAATACACATGTAAAAATACACACTTTTTTTTTTTTTACTGTACAATGAGGGGGATTGCAAAGAAGCTGTTTCACTATCTCGTTAAAGGAAGTATAGAAAGTGTCACTTTATTTTTTATTTGTTTATTTAAGTAATTTCTGTACCCTATGTGGGACTTGAACTCATGACCCCAAGATCAAGAGTTGCATGATCTTCTGACTGAGCCAGCGTTCCGAAAGTGTCACTTTATTATAAGTTATAATTGGAAATAGAGTACTTTTTTGGTCTTTGTAATAGTCACTTTCTATTGCATTGTAATAGTTAATAGTTGTTGAACACTTCCTAAATGCCAGGCAGTGTTTTGAATGCTTTCTATCTATTCACTCCTTTAATCTTCACAATAACCTTGTGAATTGTAGGTATTCATTATCTTCCTTTTCCTTGTGAGGAAGCCAAATACAGAGAGAGAGGTAAAGCAACTTGGAAGTCCCAGGCATCTGGCTCTTAAGCCCAGATCCCTAATCATTGAATTGTACTTTGGCTAACGGATTGTGTAATATATTCTGCCACTGAATTCCATTTACCCTTTATTTTCTCTCTTTCTAATTTAAGTATCCTAGCCCAGAAACATTGGTCTTAAATTTGAAAGCACACACAGAAGCTAAAAGGAAGAAAGTGATAGTTCCTTTATTTGAGAGTGGGAAGAAAACTGTATTTAAAACCTGAGCAGTTGAGGCAGAGAACATCATCCTAGCAATGTATTTTTTAAAAATATTTATTTATTTGAGAGAGAGAATGAGAGAGCATGAGCAGGGGGAGAGGCAGAGGGAGATAGAATCCCAAGCAGACTCCCTGACGAGCATAGAGTTCAACTCGGGACTCCATCCTAGGATGCAGAGATCATGACCTGAGCTGAAACCAAGAGTTGGACGCTCAGCCTACTGAGCCACCAAGGTGCCCCCCCCAGCAATGTATTTTTTAAATGATTTTAAATTACGATGATCAGTCTAGTTCATGGAATGTATTATTAGTGGATATTCTTTTTTTTTTTTTTTTAAAGATTTTATTTATTTGAGAGAGAGAATGAGATAGAGAGAGCATGAGAGGGGAAGGGTCAAAGGGAGAAGCAGACTCCCTGCCGAGCAGGGAGCCCGACACGGGACTCGATCCAGGGACTCCAGGATCATGACCTGAGCCGAAGGCAGTCGCTTAACCAACTGAGCCACCCAGGCGCCCAATTAGTGGATATTCTTAAGGATAGTAGCATTTTCTTTGAGCCAAAGTAATTTTCCATTTTCATGCTATTTCTGTGTCTTATGGATAAGTCAACTGTGAAAAAAATCAGTTTTTAAACTAGGAATGGATTTAATCATCATTTGGAGAATTTTACATAAAATTAATTTTGTGGAGAAAATGGTTTAAAAATGTCATGGATGAGCATTGTCTATATACTTCAAAAATTTATATTTGTCTAAATATGTTTTAAAGTATTTTATTAATATAGGATCATTAGTTTAATTTTTTTTATACATGGGTCATGTATTAACATATACAAGTACTAAATAACTAATAAACTAAATACTAAATCAATAATAAATTTAATTACATTTACTTTTTTTTTTACAAGTTGAATCTTGAAATTAAGTAGATTTTTGGGGTTACAGTTTTATATTTGTAGCTTTTCATGAGTTTGGTTCAAGATAACCTTGGTATTTCAGTGTTAGATTTTATTCTTTTCTAATAAGCTCAACTTTGAGGAGCAGTGGCTTTTGTTGACTACTAAGGACCAGTGTAGCTCTGAACTATGAGTCTTTTATTTTTTCTTTTTAAAAATGGAAATAGTATTTTTTAATTATAAAAATATGTTTAAGATAAAAGGAAGGAAGAAACTGTAAAGAAGGTAGTATGTCCTTAAAGTAAGATTAAATAATTAATGTATTTACCTTACATAATATTTTAGTAGACTGTTATGAGTTTATTTCAGATTTAATTTTAGTAAATTAATATTTTCTTGTTCATCATTAAAACAGTATTTTGCTTTTAAAATACTTTTTAAAATCATGGTATTTTTGTAAGTAATTGAATAAAATAGATAAATAGAATATTCATGGAATTTACTGGTTTTGTTCTTTTAAATATTACATTCCTTTAATAAAACTTTAAAATAATTGCTTGGGCAATGTCCACAATAGCCAAACTATGGAAAGAGCCCAGATGTTCATCGACAGATGAATGGATAAAGAAGATGTGGCATATATACACAGTGGAATACTACTCAGCCATCAAAAAAATGAAAGCTTGCCATTTGCAACGACGTAGATGGAACTAGAGGGTATTATGCTAAGCGAAATAAGTCAATCAGAGAAAGTTATCATATGATCTCGCTGATACGTGGAATTTAAGAAACAAAATAGAGGATCATAGGGGAAGAGAGAAAAAAATAAACCAAGATGAAACCAGAAAGGGAGACAAACCATAAGAGACTCTTAATTATAGGAAACAAACTGAGGGATGCTGGAGGGGAGAAAGGTGGAGGGATGGGATAACTGGGTAATGGACGTTAAGGAGGGTATGTGGTGTAATGAGCACTGGGTGTTATATACAACTGATGAATCACTGAACTCTACCTCTGAAACCAATAATAGAGTATATATTAATTACTTGAATTTAAATTTAAAAACTGATTACAAAATAAAGTGAGGGAATTAATACAAAAATAAAATAATTGCTTGGGCAACTGCTGTTTTTCTAATCTGGGATAGCTGCTTTTATCATTTGGTTATGGCTGAAATTTTGAGTTTTAAAGGATAAGTTTTATGGAACACATATTTTTGGAAATCATTTTCATGGTGCTTTTGTTTCCTTTAAATGAAAAAAAATTTAAGTAAATTCTGATACTTAGAGAAGATTTCTCATTTTTCCCTTTTCTAGTGACATTTGGGCTCTGGGGTGTGTCCTGTATGAGATGTGTACACTTAAACATGCAGTAAGTAGAAGTTTCTGAAATATTTAAAAAATTGTGTCCTAAAGTACCTGTACTATATATATTTTTAAATCATATGCCATCTTTCAGGTCACCCTCTTGCACTAGAAATTCTCTGTCAGTTTTTAAATTTCTCATCTTAAGTATAAATTTAAATAGATTTGCCCTTAACATATATGTGTATATTACATATGTATGTTATATATTTGTTATTGTAACACATATGTTATACTTTTTTCCAGGAAATTCTTTTTTTTAAAGATTTATTTATTTATTTTGGAGAGGGAGAGAGAGAATCTCCAGCAGATTCCCCTGCTGATTGTGGTGCTGGACGGGGGTTTGGTTCGATCCCACAACCCTGAGATCATGACCTGAGCTGAAATCAAGAATCGGATGCTTAACCAACTGAGCCACCCAGGCGCTCCCCCACAGGAAATTATTTCTAACAACAAAAATAAACTTGCTATCTTTTTAATGTTACATTCGTATGTGAATTTGGTATTTTAGCTTAATGATTTTTGTTTCATCTTAGCAGTTTCTCTCAAAACACCCAGAGTATTTGGAATTGAATTGTATTTGAGTTTGGAATTGAAATTAAAGAACATTTTCGACATATTCTTTAAGGGATTTTATCAATTCAAATGCTCTTTAAGATTTTTTATTTTTTTTATTTTTTTTATTTTTTAGAGAGCGAGCGAGAGAGAAACAGCATGAGAGGGGAGAGGGTCAGAGGGAGAAGCAGGCTCCCCGCTGAGCCGGGAGCCCGATGCGGGACTCGATCCCAGGACCCTGGGATCATGACCTGAGCCGAAGGCAGACGCTTAACCATCTGAGCCACCCAGGCGCCCTCAAATGCTCTTTAATTAAAACTTATTTTGGGGGCACCTCGATGGCTCAGTTGGTTAAGCATCTAACTCTTGAATTCGGCTCAGGTCATGATCTCGGGGTGGTGATCAGGGTGAGATCAAGCCTGGCGTTGGGCTCCATGCTCAGCAGGAGCATGCTGCTCTCCTTCTGCTCCTTCCCCTGCTTGTGCATACACACGCTCGCTCTCTGTCTCTCTGTCTCTCTCAAATAAATCTTTAAAAATATTTTTTTTTAATTTTTGAGACTTTGTTGAGATGGCACATAAACCCCAAAGGGGAAGTTTTTGTCTTAAATAGGTTGAATTTTAATCACTTTCCATTTCAAAATTTTGCTTTTTAAAAATGCTCCCCTGGGGGTGCTTGGGTGGCTCAGTCAATTAAGCATCCGACTCTTGATTTCAGCTCAGGTCATGATCTCAGGGTGGTGAGATAGAGCCCTGTGTTGGTCTCCTTGCTGGGTGTGGAGCCCGGTTGAGATTCTCTCTCTCCCTCTCCCTCTTTACCTCCCCCCCCACCCCCTTCCCTGCCCACCCTTTGCGGGCATGCTCTCTCTGTTTTTCTAACAACAACAACAACAAAAAAATGCTTCCCCCATTAAACAAGAATGTATTTTCATTACAGAAAACTTAAGAAAATAGATAAAAATATAAAGAAAGTGAATGGATATCAAAAACAATTCTTACAACTGGTAATGAGTACTTGTAATATTTTGTTTCCTTCTAGGCTTTCTTATAGATTATAAAATGAGTTTTTTTTTTTCTTTCTACAGTTTAATTATTTTGTCTAAGCAGCTTTATAGCCTGTTTTTATTGCTTGATATTATTTGGGGGATATTTTTTCATTGCTGTGTTTTTTCATGGTTGCATACTCTTTTAAGACTGTATTACCTTATGAAAGCATGGACTGCGAAAGTGATGTGGAATGGTAGTTATCAGATCTGTATTTGAAGGAATTGGTCAGTTTTTCGACACAGTCATTTTAGATATAAATCAGTGTATTTTCTTTCATTTTTTCATCTATGTTCTGTCACCATTGCTTCTGTATTTTGGAATTATTTACTTTTAAGTAGACACATGAAATTAAGTAATTCACTGACCTTTATGAAAAGCTTGTCATTTGAGAAACAGTGAAAATTCATTGTAGTGAAGGAATAATCTATCATTATGCATTTCGAATTCCTTCTTAGGTACATAGATATTTTTAGACTACTGAATTATACTCAAATTTTAATATGCTGAATATCATATTTTACCTTTTTAAGGTTTTATTTGACACAGAGAGACACAGCAAGAGAGGGAACACAAGCAGGGGGAATGGGAGAGGAGAAGCAGGCCTCCCGCGGAGCAGGGAGCCAAATGCGGGGCCTGATCTCAGGACACTGGGATCATGACCTGAGCCGAAGGCAGGTGCATAATGACTGAGCCACCCAGGCATCCCATGAATATCATATTTTAAATGTCTAGGAGAATTCAAGATTTAGCAGAACTTTTTTATACTTGGTATAATCACCAATACCTAATTTATAGCATGTTTTGTTAAAGTGTATGTTAAGAACACGTTAACAGCGTACAACTGTTCTATTTTAGCAGAGATGTCAAAAGCTTAATTTTGTTTACTTTCAAAATGAAATCTTTAGATTTTAAACTGCCCCACTGCTGTTGGTTTTTCTCTTTTTTAACTTCAGTTAGAGTTTATATTGTGTTTACTCCTTAAATATATACTATTCCCATTGATATGGCTTATATTCCCCTTTGGAATACTTGCCACGTTGCTCACTACATGGCTTTTGGAAGCATCACACACTTAAAAATATTAAGCAGTGTGTAAAAGGAAAGTAATTCGTATTTTCGTTTATTTTTTCTTAAGATTTATTTATTTAAGAGAGAGAGGGCACGTGTGCATGAGTTGGGCAAGGGGCAGAGGGACAGACTCTCAAGCAGACTCCCCGCTGAGTGCAGAGCCAGATGCAGAACTTGATCTCATGACACATGAGATGATGACCTGAGCTGAAATCAAGAGTCAGACCCTTAGCTTACTGAGCTACTTAGGCATCCTAGTATTTTCATTTATTATGTTTTTTTCCCAGATACTTTTAGTTTTGTAGTTAATTTCTTGTTTCACTTACTGCAACAGGGCCATAGGTAGGCAGTCTTAAGACTACAAGGTTTGTTTTTGTCTTTTATTACTGTTTTTATAAAATCTTTAATACCTTTATTCCATCTTTTAGTGTTTTGAGTGAGCAAAAATTAATATTACAGTAAGTTATGTTTTATGAGGACTGATAGTCTCTTAAATATGTTTATAAATCCGTGAACTTTGTTCTAAAGAACATACTCTAAAAAAGAGAACATATGCTGATTAAAATATTTGTAAGAGGATTATATTTCTGTTCCATAGGAAGAGAACTATTTCTCATTGTTTATTCCTATTTTCAATGTATGTATGTTTCATATATGTTAATTTGTTTTCTGGATTTTAGTTTGAAGCTGGCAATATGAAAAACCTGGTACTGAAGATAATATCTGGATCTTTTCCACCTGTATCTTTACATTATTCTTATGACCTCCGCAATTTACTCTCTCAGTTATTTAAAAGAAATCCTAGGGATAGACCATCAGTCAACTCCATATTGGAGAAAGGTTTTATAGCCAAACGCATTGAAAAGTTTCTCTCACCTCAGGTATGTGTTTTGTTGTTTTTTTTTTTTTTACTTGAAAATAATAAGGTTATGATGCTTAACTAGGACATGACCTATGTTTTGAGGAGAGCACATCACAGTTCTGGGAGAATGAAGTGCCTTTTTCAGATGACACTGGAGTCACCTTTCTTTCCATTCTTATATTCTTCCTCTTTGGATTTGTTTTCTGGTTGTGAATCTGTACGAGGGAAAACATTCCTCCTGTGTTTCCTCCTAACACTTAATACTGAACTTCTCACCCTTCCAATCACCAAATGTGTGGTAGTTTTTCCCACAGCAGGCACTTCTGCAACACAGCTGGGTGTCCAATTTAGTTCACTTCTGGCACTGACTGGAGATATAGATCATCAGATCCCACAGCCAGATAAAGGGATATGTAGGGCAAGGTCTGAAAGGGTCCTGAAAGCAGGAGCTTCTGTTCCAGTGAAATTAGGATGTGTCACCCTGCTGGCATGTTTACCAACACAGAAGCTGTCCAAATCCTGTCCTTCAGCTTTTTACGGAGGCTTTATTATGTAGAAATGATTGATTAAATCATTGGCCATTAGTGTTTGATTAAGCCTCTAGTCCCTTTCCTCTCAGGGAGGGGAGTGAGACTGAAAGTTTCAACCCTCTAATCCTGTGGTACATTTCCCTGGCAATCAGCTTCCATCCTTAGGGGCTTTCCAGATGTCACGTCATTAACATAAATTCAGGTGTGGTTGAAAGTGGCTTGTTAGGAATAACAAAAAAACATCTTTATTCTCTTAACCTTTTGGGTACTTTAAGGGTTTTAGGAGCTGTATGCCAGGAACTAGACACCAGATATGTATTTCTTAATATAAATCACAGTATCACAAAATCATTCTTTTGTTTTGGGTTTCTGTTTTGTTTTCCAATTTTTTTATTGTGGTAAAATGTACACAACATAAAATGCATCCTCTTATCCATTTTTGAGTGTCCAGTTCAGTGGTATTAAAGAGATTTTCAATGCTGTGCAGTTAATACCACCATTCATCTTCACAACTCTTCATCTTGTAAAATAAACTCAATCCCATTAACCAGTAACCCCCCATTCCCTCTGTCATAACTCCTGGCAATCACCTCTCTACTTTCTGTCTTCTTAGGTTTCTAACTGTAAAATTATTATTTAAAAAAATTTTAAATCCAGTATAGTTAACATAGACAGAGTTATATTAGTTGCATGTGTACAGTATAGTGATTCAATGATTCTGCACAATAGTGCCCATCAAGATAAGTGTACTCTTAATCCCCTTCACCTATTTTATCCATCCCCCTACCTACCTCCCCTCTGGTAACTATCTCTAATTGTAAAATTATTAAGCATTTCTGTGCCTCACTGACCTGTAAACAATGGGATTATAAATATATCTACATCATGAGGTGGTTTTTTTTTTAAAAAGTGATAATGTACATAAAGTGCCTAATGTCTAGCATGTAATAAGTGCTCAATATATTCAATATAAATATTATCAATGTGTTATTTTATTATACTAATATAAACATATTAGTATCTTAAGTTATATGATTATATTCTATTTGGATAATTATTGAAAACTTGTTTTGTGGGCATTTGTATGTATAACAGATTGTTGACTTATGATTTTTCCTTGTACTCACATGAAGATGCGTAATAAATGTTGAGTTGAACTGAATTTTACTTTGACAGGATTTATTAAAAATTTATATCAAATCAGTTTGTACAAGTTATTGATATAAATATCATCTGAAACTGGAATTATTTTATATTACATGTTCTGTGTGGCCTTTGTTAATTTAAATGATAACTGTTAAATTCTTCTGTAAATCATGTATCTAGCAAAATCATAGTTTTATTACTTTTATATGCTCATGGGATAAGAGGGAAGTGTCATATATTCTCTGGGTTAATAGAACATCTGTGTGAGCAAATAATTTTCAGAAAACAGAGGTGTGGATTTAACTGTTACTACCAGGAGAACACATTAGTCAGCAAAAAGCCAATTAAAATGTGTAGATTGAAGGTTACTTATATAGGATATAGCAAGAATCCCTGAAATTTAGGTATCTTATAAGACTCCTTTGTTATAAGTAACAATTTCAAGGACAGATTTATGATGCAATATACTATTGTTTTTTGGCAACTACTGGCGAAGAAAGAGTAACTTCATTGAATCTTGGTGAGGTTCCCTCCTCCCAAAACCAGTGGTTAAGACGTACAGTCTCAAGGCTGAAGCACTTGAATTCAACTAGCCAGCAGTGAAGGAAAATGTGCAAGCCTGATATATCAAAATTTATAATATGGAAAGAAAAAAGGACAGATTATTTATGATTAGTAACAAGTGCAATATTTGATAGTTTAATATATTAATAGCTCCTTGTTGCTATTTAGACATCACTTAGATTTCATTTTTTTGTGAAAATCTCTTCTTTGGTTCCTAAGTTTTATTTTCTGCTATATATCACTTATTTGGTATTCTAGGGAGAAAGTTTGCAATACATTTTTTAAGGCTTTAACTTTGAAACAATTTGTGAGCTTTACTATATAATATATGAACTACTATAATGTTCTGTAGGGTTTTTAAAAAAATCTCTTCTTCTCTAAGTACTGTCACCCAAGGTTTAATAGGGCTTAATTCTCAATCTTGCACACACTGGAAGAAGCTTGACAAATCATGGATAAGCTCTGATTCCTTAGCAGTATAGGTGTTGTCCAGTAGTACTTTCAATAGTGCATCAATAGTGATGAAGTGTTTTATATCCGCATTGTCCAACATTGTAGCCACTAGCCACATGTGGTTATTGAATACTTAAATTGTGCCTAGTGTGACCAAGGGGCTGAATTTAAAATTATATTTATTTAAAATTTTAATCCAAATAGCTACTTACGGCTGGCAACTAAATTGAACAACATAGCATAGAGATTTCAGAATCTTCTTGGATTCTTCGTGCTCCATCTCTTAGTTCATATTTGCACTCACACAAAAAAGAAAGACTCAAAGAAACTATCCAGTTTGGGCAAGTTGGAGTTTATAAAGCACTTATTTTCTTCCATGCAAAAGAAAGGGATAAAATGCAAGTGTTCAGAAGAGAAAATACATTTACACAGTTGCTCTGAATTGCCTGTGAACCAGACCTTCACTTAATTTATCTTTTGGTGCAGTGGTTTTTAAGCTTTAGCATACTTTAAAAAATCACTTGGAGAACATTGCTGGGTCCCATCACTACAATTCCTATTTTAGTTTCTGAGGTGGGAGCCTGAGAATTTCCACATTTCATATGTCCCTGGTGATGCTGATTCTGCCAGTATGAGATAACTTGAAAACTGCTATTGGAGGGTACTTAATGGGACAGATGACCATCTCAGTCATGGTTTTTTGCCTGTTGGAGCTTCTGTTCCACTGTTACTGTGTGAATATTCTCTTCAGCAGGCCTCATTTCTCTTGAAAAAAGAGAAAATTCACTTGTTTTCCCTTTCCCCACCCAATAAGAAAAAAAGCAGGCTTAAATTGAGTTAAATCTTTGTTGGTGTCATAGTTCTGCGCTTAAAGAGGGGAAAAAGAAAATTTAGTGAGTAGGGAGAAAAAATGACTTGCAGGAAATACTAATGATTTTTGGTTCTCAAAATATGTTCATGAATGCTAGAGAATTAAGTACAGGAGTATTTTAGTAATAGTAAGAAGAGATACTTGTTGAATTATCTAAGAATATTCAAATATTTATCCAGTAGTATGTTTATAATTACATATTGTTAAAAGTGAAAACTCACTGGAGATGCTGAGAAGATTCGGAGTAAAGTTGAAATAACTAAGAGGTTAATCTGAGAAAGCGGTAATTAAGTGATTATTAGTTCTGAGGTAAATGAGGGATTTGGCTGTATATAAAATATAGAGGCTATTCCAGATAGGGGGTAATTGTGTTAAATTGCTGAGACATAGAACAGGAAAGCAGTTTATGGGGGCCTTTGTGGTTCATTAGGTTAATTTGAGAAGAAAGGTTGTCTGGAAAAGTCATAAAATAAATTTGTAAGAGTGGAAGGGAATTAGGGGCACCTGGGTGGCTCAGATGGTTAAGCGTCTGCCTTCAGCTCAGGTCATGATCCCAGGGTCCTGGGATCGAGTCCCACATCGGGCTCCCTGCTCCTTGGGAGCCTACTTCTCCCTCTGCCTCTCTCTCTCTCTCTGTCTCTCATGAATAAATAAATAAAATCTTAAAAAAAAAAAAAAAAGAAAAACAAGTAAATTAAAAAAAAAAAGTGGAAGGGAATTAGTATGAGAGGAATTTGGGATTACTTAGGTTGAATAAGTAAAGTTTATCTGATAGCATATATGTGACTGAAAAGAGAAAAATGTAATCTGAATAATGGGTAGGGTTTTTATTTTGGAAGTTTCACATCTTTTCTAACTTTTTCTTTGTCCTCCTTCAATCTAAGCTTATTGCAGAAGAATTTTGTCTAAAAACATTTTCCAAGTTTGGAGCGCAGCCTGTACCAGGTAAATGAAATTTAATGAGTCTTCACCTGTTTGCAATAATCAATATACTAGTACTAATTAATATTTTCTAATTATACTAGAGATACATGTAGATATAATAAGTTGGGGTAAATTTAGATAAAATTAATCCAGAGGAAATTCATCTTTAAATTATTTTTGATATATGACAGTATACAACACTTTGTGATGAATTAATAACAAAATTTCCATTTCTTGTCTGCCTTATTTGAATTAAATCTATCTTGAAGTCTTCCATCTTTATCAGTTGCTTAGCTGATATTCTGAGCAGATTGTTGTAGCATGTTCTAAAATGTCTTAGTAAGTATATATCTTTATATATTTTTCTTTGACAAATACTTCATATTCTAAAATTTTTAAAAAGTGAATTAATATGACATCAGGTACCTTACCAAGGATAATTTTGTTTTAAGTGTGGCCAGCAGCAGTAGAATATTTGTAGGATTGTGGGTATGGTTATATACTATGTGTATGTATATACATATATTTGTGTGAGAAGGAAATTGTATTTTTTCTTCATAAATGATTTCAGAATGGATTTCTAAAATCAGTGGATAACTGTAAGATTTGAAGAGTATATTGTTTTTCAAACAGTGCATTCCATGTTCTCCATTTTGAGTTTGAGTAAATTAATAAAAAGAAATACCATATTATAACAGTGAGTCCATGTAAGCTGGAAGTGGTACAGCAGTGTGTTCTTAGGAAGGCCAGCTATATTTAGCTCTTCCTGAAGATCCTTAGACTCATTGTCTCAGTGTTCAGAGACTGTCATTCCCTGGGAAATCAAGTCACTCTAAATGAAATTCACAAGAGACAAACACACAGCAGAATCAGCATGTCTCTCCTGGCGGTCAAGCCTCATGAGAAGTCAAATCTTAATCAAAAGCCTCATTGTCACAAAGACCAGAAATACTCCATCTCAGCACATTCTTTCCATGTAGCCTACAAGGAATTAGAAAGTTATTTTGTTGTAACAGGAGTTGGATGAATGAAATGTTTAATAGCATGAGGCTAAAATAGGTATTGTATTGCTCATGGGCCTATAGGTACTTTGTGGGCTCCAGCTCCCCATATTAATTAAGCTTTATACCACTAGCAGCCTTGTCACTGAGCCTGAGAAATACACCCAAATCAGATAAGTAATTCTCCCTCTTTTCTGGAAGTGAATGGGAGCTATTCAGTATTTTTCTCTTGGGAATCTTCATTTTTATACTTTTGTGACTTTAGCTCCTTCTTCAGTATGTGTGCCAGTATGTGTACTGGTATACACAATATTTCTTTGGTTGTTTTAATACATTTAGCCAAGTTACAATGTTGTGATGTTATATATATGTGTTCTGATTTGATCTTACAGTTGAACTCTCAAAGGGAAATTTTTTTCTTCCACTTTTCCTAGTTCCTAGTTAATATCTTTGAGAGATATGAATAGTAGACTTTCCTCTAAATTTTCTTCAATTTAACTGTTTTTCTTGAATTCATCATTGTTCTAAGAACCTTCAGTCTTAGAACTCTAGGCTTCAATAAGAATTGGATACATAATTTCTGTAGGGCTTATACTTGTATATAAATTTTTATGTATCTCTGATTATTTCTTTAAAAGCAATCCATAAACATTGTTCTTGATACAGATTGCCCTCTAGAAAGTTTGACCATTTTATATTCCCACCCTATAAAGGTACCCATTTCACGGGACTCTGAGCTATAGTAATTGTTTTAAAGTGTTTGTTCTTCTATAGGTCTGTAGGTATAAACATCTTTCAGACTATAGGTGAAGAAAGTATTAAAGTTGCTCACAATGATGGCGTTATTGAGTTACTGTTAACAGCTTTATTGAGTTACAGTTCTATACCATTTAAAGTCTGCTCTTAAATCTCTTTAATTCAGTGATTTTTAGTATATTCACAGGTAAATACAGTCATCACCCATAGTCAATTTTAGGGATGTGCTTTTTTTTAATATGAGAAATTTCAACATCTTAAAGATGTGTGGCTTTTTGCTTTTTTTTTTCTCTCCAAAAAATGGCTTTAGTATTAAATAGTTTATAAAGAAGGCATTGACATGTGCTGAGGAGTGAACAGTATTTTTAATGAAAAGTCTCAAATGCTGTCAATGATTGTGAAAATGAAAAAATGCTATCTTGAATTTTGAAATTAAAGATTTAATATAAACTCTAGGAAAAAACTCTTTGTATCTTTTCATGTAGCTAAAAGACCAGCTTCAGGACAAAGCTTGGCTTCTTTTGTGTCTGCTCAGAAAATTACAAAGCCTGCCGCTAAATATGGAGTACCTTTAACATATAAGAAATTTGGAGATAAAAAATTACATGAAAAGAAACCACTCCAAAAACATAAACAGGTATGATCATATTACAGACTGTGTATTAGTAACAAATTCAGTTTGATCTTTTTTTATTGCAGTTCAGTTATCTTGATACTCATAGGATTGTTTTTATTAAGTTACTAAAGAACATTGCTATTCTCTGCTTCACCAGTCTTCTAAAACTAAGAAGACTTACAGAAATCACAGAGAAACATTAAATAGGTATATTAAGTAGATGGTACAATAAAAAGAAAGTGACATCATCAGTGAAATCACTTTTGGACAACCTAAGCAGAGCCAATCGTTTTTGTGCATAAAACAAGTAAATGTGATATACTTGATAAAAATGTGGGAAAATTTTGTACTTGAGAATTCACAGATAAATAAATCAAAATCATAGAGCTGGAAGGAATGTTATTGTACAGTCTATAGTATTTCAGATGAAAAAATTAACACTCATAGCACCTAGGTGAAATGCTCAAGAACACAGTGTTAGTTGCAGGAATTTGACATTTTTCTTCATGTCAGTAGCTGCCTACTTTAGCATATGAAACCTGTTTTGTTCTGGACTACATATGTGCATGCATACATATGTGCATACACATGTGTTTAGATACATATGAACATTGAGCATATTGCTGTAAGAGAAATCTAAGTTAAAATCTCATAAAGTAGTTCAAATGATTACTGTAAATTAGTCTTCAAATAAGTTGTATAAGTCAGCCTCCAGTCAGGAGAAAAAAACGCATAATAATTTGATCAAGGAAAGTTTAAATAATTAGTAACTATGTTTAGGGAATTAACTTCAAGGGATAAAGAACTCTAGAGAATATAGGAACAGCAGATAAAGGAAGCAGCCACTACTCCTAGTGCTGATACATAGTACCCAAAGAAGGAATAGATTTTGGAAAATCTCCACACCACCACCCTTAAGGCTGAGATTCAAACCTTATTGGGTGTGGTATGGCTATAATTCAATGGCTGGTGAGTTCACTGAGCTGCCATAGGCTGAGGCTGGCAAACATAAAATTGTCCACTGTAGAGCTGATGAAGCTCTTGAGAACCGCTTAGAGTGCCTGTGAAATGTACTGGGAAGCTGCTTGGGGAATCGTTGAATCGACTGGGAAGCCTACTGGAGTGCTGGTGGAAGTTGTCAGGTGTTGCTAAACTCTTTGGGCTGGGATGCTAGTTGGGTCACCAGTGGAATGTGGTGGGAAACTGGCCTTGGGGTTGCTGTCAAAGGTTACAGGGAAGCTGGCAGGGGAACCAGCAGAACTCTCCTAGAAGCTTCCCACAGGGGTAATGTCACTATGTGTCCCACATGCAGCAGGAACAAGAAGAAAGAAAGCCTGCTAATCAGGAACAGAAGCCATTTCCTTCTGCACGGTCCCTCCAAATCATCTACTAACAAAGCTTAACATTGTACTAGCAAACAAAGAAGTGTTTAAATTGTCTGGCTTCTAACAAGGCGGACAATGACGGGTGAATTTGCAGCTGAGGCAATATGATAACTGGCACACAAGTTTTCCCTCCCTGCCTCCCTCCCTTCCTTCAGTCCTTCCATATAACACTAAATTAGGTCTAATGGACCAATTCCATCTTATCTTTTATCCCTCTTCTTTAATCACCAGAAGCGCTGGACCTCCAGACTTTTCCTTCATTCCATATGATTCTGGTCATACCCCAATCTGACCCTCACCCTCTGCAGACCTCCCTAAACTCTTCCAGAAAGCCCTCTTATAGCACATTATCAGCAAAATTCCCTGTATTTTAAGCTTGTAGAGTTTTTCGATCTTTTTTGCTCTGAAACCTGGCTTGTCCCTGAACACACTGTTGTGCAATTGTCTTTCATGGTGTCTCTAATCTCTTAATACTACTGCGTCTAGAAGTAGGATGGGGGAGGTGTTTTCCTTGCTTCTCACTGCAGGACTCTTCCCTGCTCCCTAACCACAACCACCCCCCAAAATTTTGAGGCTTTTGCTACCAGATTGTATCACCTGTTAACCCTCTGTGGGTCATCTGCAGACTCTCATTTTTTAAAGACTTTAACACTTGATTCCTGGTCACTTTTCCCAATACTGTCCTAATTCTTGTCATGCCATCAAATTTGTCATTATTACAGCAACTCTTCCATAGTCTCAATCATAAGCATCCCATGACTTACCATTATTTCCTGTGTTTCCAGCTTATTCCTGGAGGACTTTGCCTCCACAACTTTTGTCCTATTTTGATCCATGGATTTTTCTAGTTTTTTTTTTTTCAATGTCCCTCTCCTCATTTTTTATTTTCCTTTTTTGGCTTAAATTCCATGTTCTCCCATTATAATAATTTCCAAAGCCTCACCTGTCTTTCACTATTACAAATCACCTGGCAAAAACTAACTTGGTGAAATCCAACTCTCTATCTCTTTTGAGCCTGAACTTAGGTAGTGGAATGTGATTGGAGAAAACATACAACTATTCTAACTGGTCTCACTTTAAATTTATAACTAATAGTATCAAGTGAGCACCTTCTGGCCACCCTATTATATTTGCTCAGCCCACTTACTCGCCTACTTTATTTTATTTTATTTTTGTTGTTTTTTTTAATTTAAATTCAATTAACATGTAATGTATTATTGGTTTCAGAGGTAGAGGTCAGTGATTATGTATTATGTATTATGTAAGTCAGCCTTACATAATACCCAGTGCTCATTACATCACGTGCCCTCCTTAATGTCCATCACCCAGTTACCCCGTTCCCTCATCCTGCTTCCCTCCAGGAACCCTCAGTTTGTTTCCTATGCTTAAGAGTCTCTTATAATTTGTCTCCCTCTCTGATGTTGTCTTGTTTTATTTTTTTCCTCTCTTCCCCTATGATCCTCTGTTTTGTTTCTTGAATTCCACATACCAGCGAGATCATATGATAGTTGTCTTTTTTTGATTGGCTTATTTCACTTAACACTCTCTACTTCCATCCACGTCATTGTAAATGCCAAGATTTCATTTTTTTTGATGGCTGAGGAGTATTCCATTGTATATATATATATATATATAACACATCTTTTTTATCCATTCGTCTGTTGATGGACATCTGGGCTCTCCATAGTTTGGCTTTTGTGGATATTGCTGCTATAAACATTGGGGTGCATGTACCCCTTTGGATCACTACATTTGTATCTTTGGGGTAAATACCCAGTAGTGCAATTGCTGGGTCATAGGGTAGCTCTGTTTTCAACCTTTTGAGGAACCTCCATACTATTTTCCAGAGTGGCTGCACCAGCTTGCATTCCCACCAACAGTGTAAGAGGATTCCCCTTCTCCTCATCCTTGCCAACATCTGTTGTTTCCTGAGTGGTTAATTTTAGCCATTCTGACTGGTGTGAGGCGATATCTCATGGTGGTTTTGATATGTATTTCCCTGATGCTGAGTGATGTTGAGCATTTTTCATGTGTCTGTTGGCCATTTATATGTCATCTTTGGAAAAATGTCTGTTCATCTCTTCTGCCCATTTTTTGATTGGATTATTTGTTCTTTAAGTGTTGAGTTTGATAAGTTCTTTATAGATTTTGGATATTAGCCCTTTATCTGCTTTGCCACTTGCAAATATTTTCTCCCATTCTCTTGGTTGTCTTTTGGTTTTGTTGATTGTTTCCTTTGCTGTGCAGAAGCTTTTTATCTTGATGAAGACCCAATAGTTCATGAAGACAGTATGGTACTGGCACAAAAACAGACACATAGATCAAGGGAATAGGATAGAGAATCCAGAAATGGACCCTCATCTCTTTGATCAACTAATCTTCGACAAAGCAGTGCAGCCGCTTTCACCTTATTGGTTAAATTTATTCCTAAATATTTTATCATTTTGAATCAATGGAATGGTTTTCTTGATTTCTCTTTCTGAGAATTTGTTATTAGTGTATACAAACACAACAGATTTTTGTACATTAATGTTGTATCCTGCAACTTCACTAAATTCATTTATTACTTTATACTAGTTTTTTTGGTGTAATCTTTAGGGTTTTTTATATATAGTATCAGGATACCTGTAAATAGTGACAGTTTTACTTTTCCTTTCTTTTTTTTTTTTTTTTTTAAAGATTCTATTTATTTATTTGACGGAGAGAGACACAGCGAGAGCAGGAACACAAGCGGGGGGAGTGGGAGAAGGAGAAGCAGGCTTCCCGCGGAGCAGGGAGCCTGATGCGGGGCTCGATCCCAGGACTCTGGGATCATGACCTGAGCCGAAGGCAGACGCTTAACGACTGAGCCACCCAGGCGCCCCTTACTTTTCCTTTCTAATTTAGATGCCTTTTATTTCTTTTACTTGCCTGGGACTTCCAGTATTATGTTGAATAAAAATAATGAGCATCCTTGTTTTGTTTCTGATCATAGAGGAAAAACTTTTGTCTTTTTACCAGAGTATGAGGTTAACTGTGGGTCTGTCATAGATGGCTTTATTATGTTGAGGTACATTCCTTCTATATCTACTTTGTTGAGCATTTTTATTATAAATGATGTTAAATTTTGTCAAATTATTTTGCATCTATTGAGATGATCATGTGAGATTTTTATCATTTATTTTGTTAATGTGGTTTATTATGTTGATAGATTTGTAGATGTTGAACCATCTTTGCATCCCTGGAATAAGTACTTCTTGATCATGGTGTATGGTCCTTTTAATGTATTGTTTATTTCGGTTTGCTAATATTTTGTTGAGGATATTTGCATCTATGTTCTTCAGGGATACTGGCCTGTAATATTCTTTTTTTTGTGGTGTCCTTGTCTGGTTTGGTATCAGGGTAATGCTGGCCTGGTAAAATATGTTTGGAAGTTTTCCTTCTTTAATTTTTTGTAAGAGTTTGAGAAAGATAGGTGTGAAATCTTTGAATGTTTAGTAGAATTCACCAGTGAAGTCATTTGGTCCTGAACTTTCGTTTATTGGGAGATTTTTGAATACTGATTCAACCCCTTTACTAGTAATCAGTCTATTCAGATTTCTGTTTCTTTATGATTCTGTCTTGGAAGATTATAAAGTCTAGGAATTTATCTACTTC